GTACGTTACGTACGTACTACGTACGTACGTACGTACTACTACTACTACTCTACTCTCTACTACTCTACTACTACTACTACTACTACTCTCTCTCTCTCTCTCTCTCTCTCTCTCTCTCTCTCTCTCTCTCTCTCTCTCTCTCTCTCTCTCTCTCTCTCTCTCTCTCTCTCTCTCTCTCTCCAGTCTTTGTGGGGAATACACTTGAGTCCACTCAGACTTGGCTGAGTAACTTGGCTCTGGCAATGTTTGAGTCCAATGCCCGAGCCTAGTTATTGAACATTGGGCAAAATTGAGTTGTTTGGACATATGCCTATGCATTCTAGATCATCTAACAAGAAATTTTTGCAATGAATGTCTAGAACAGCCTGTTATAGCTTATGCTCAAAAAACATGGAAATTAGCTTCTGGGGAGAACATGCATGCTGAGAGTGGTTATTGGCGGCCAAAGGTTGACGGGTCAATTGAAGTTGTTATTGCTCAAAGTACTGGTCTAGTGGAGGTCCAGGTAACTCTTGTTTCCTTCAGATAAGTTCTGCTGTTTGTAGTACAAGAACATGAAGGAGTCCAAGTGGACTTCTGCATTTCAAAATTTTCTATCTTGGCAATACTGGATTCTGAAACAAAAATGTGCTCTTAAACTATTGAGTCCTGAGATAAGAAAAAAAATTAAGTGACAAATTTGTTGTATTCATTACTCTAAAAATTATGGGGTGTTGAGGTTATTGATATGCTATCATAAGCTGAAGCTTTTAGATGACCTGTCACTGAATTCATGAATCAATTCATCATATATTATAATTATTGTATCTTTTGCTTAATTTTATTTGTTTGCAGCATGCAAAGTACACTTTTTCCATGTGCCTAGAACTTTAGTGAAATCGTTTCCCTTCCATACGTAAAATGCAGCATAGAATAGGGGAAGATTAACAGCGAAAGGTATTGGAGTAAACGAGGTCAATCCTCAGCGTGATTTTCATCTCTCAACGAACTGTGATTCATATAATCTCTGTTAAATTTCTAGTTCAGCCCCTCTGGAAGTATTTTAGTATATGGAGTTTTGAAATTGCACAATCCAGAGTTCAATTATGGTTCAATGAGTTGAGTTGCTTTATCACCATAGGAAGAAAATAATTTAAAAGGAGACCTGCAATGGGAGCAAAGGAGTAAAGTGATTTTCCCAAAAGCTTCCTATGTATGGGATACTCCAAGTGATTCGGCGTAAGACTCATCTATACTAGGAGACACCTTGGCCTAATTAAAACTCATGGTCCCCTCTATGCATGCCTTTCTCCAGCTGTTGCTGTGTCTATAGTTTGACGTTTCTGGTATGTTCTTAATCCTATCATTTTCCTATATTTCTGCTCAACCTTTATCTGGCTCTTAGGGTTTTCCTCTCTACTTGGACCCTATTATCTTTTTTAAAATTCTTAGGTCTTCCATTTTACGTCGGTATTTTTTTTGTTAATCTCATTGCATCTACTTGCTGCACTTGTCAAGAGAATGTCAAACCCGAGGTTCTTACACTGTATAAAAGGGAAGCTCTTGTTGGCCGTACTTGAATAGTTGAATCTTGCTCCCTAAAGGCAAGCACCTTCTGTATCAGGAGATGCCTTAGCCTGAGTAAACCATGGACAAGGCACGCAGCCCTTACTCTAGATTCGCTACCATCAGTGCAGCTTTTTGACTCAATGCATCAATAGAAGGAATGCAAGCTTCCCACACCCGTCTCTCTCTATGCACCCATTTCTATCTATGTGGGCATCCATACGCACACACATATGGGTGTGTATAATGTGGTACACTAGGCCGATATTGTACATGTGGTATTGCAGAAAAAACACCTCGTTAAGAGGATTTCTATGATCTAAAGCTTTTCAAAACATCTTAGATTCATCTTTTGACAAATTTAATTATACGTATGTTCTCTTAGGACCTTAGATCTGATTGTCCAGCAAATGGATGGTGCGGGTCATATCTTATATGAGTACCTGATTTGTGCTCCAAATCATTTTCTTTCTTAGTTTGATTTGTGAGATAAACAAAAGATGATTTGAGAGATTTGTGGACAACCAGATCCCCTGACGTGGTGCTTTGGTGATCACCAAAATTTCTTGTGTGCGCATGTGTGTGACAATTTTATTATCATCATCATTTAAGTATTTTCCCAATTATTTGGGGTTGGCTACACATAACTTGGTTTTCTATTTTGCTCTTTCAAAAGTTAATACCCTCAGTGAAACCATAAGTCTCCATATCTTTTCGGACTTCTTCCAACCATGTTCTTTTGAGCTTACCCCTTGTCTTTTTCGAGCCTTTTATTTTAACCAACTCGTACCTCTTAACAGGTGCTGTACTGGGCTTGCGCTGCATAGGGCTAGCCCATTTAAGTTACTTTCTCTTATCTTATCACTTATTGGAGCCATATCTAAGTTCTCCCGAATATATTCACTTTCAAATTCTATCACTTGTCTTGCCACTCATCCATCTCAATATCCCCATCTCAGCTACACTCATTCTATGGCTATGTTGTTTCTTGACTGCTAACATTTTGCCCCATAAAGCAAAACTGGTTTCACAATTGTCCTATAGAACTTCCCTTTCAGCTTCATTGGTATGTGACGATCACATAAAAGTTTGGTTGCACATTTCCACTTCACCCACCCAACTCTAATTTTATGTGCGGCATCTTCTTCAATCTCCATTTTCCTAGAGTAATGACTTGATGTTGTAAGTATGCTATTTTTTTATATTTCTTGGCCGTCAATTTTAACTTCTATTATTACTTAATTTGTATTCCACATGTCTTAGTCCGGCTAATTTGAAAACCTTTAGATTCCAGAACATCCCTCCCAAGTTCTAACTTTGTGTTGGTGTGGCTTGGGGTCTCATTAATCAGAACTATGTTGTCCGCGGTATCTCATCTGGTAACTACCTAGTTAAGTCATCCATAATTAAGACAAAGAGGTATGGGCCCAAAGCTGACTCCTGATGTAAACTTATTGTCACTGAAAACTCACTCGTCTCTCTACTAGTTTCTCACACACTAGTTAGCACCCCCTCGTACATATCTCTCACCAAGTCAATATTGTATCTGAAGACTCATTTCTTTTCGAATACCCACCAAATTAAACCTCGAGGTATGCAATCATAAGCTTTCTCTAAATCAATAAAGACCATGTGGAGGTCTTTTTCTTTCGCCCTAAACTTCTAATCGGTTGCCTAAGTAGGAAAATAATTTCAATTGCCTATCTGACATAAACCGAATTGGTTTTCTGATATACTCGTTGTGTGCGACAATCTTATCTACTTAACAAAATGCAAGTAGGTTATCCTTTTTCTTTGCATGGTAGAACACATTGATTAAAAAATTGGTGAGCTAACTAGGTAATGTCCAAGTTGGCTGGGACCCAATGGGTTACCGGTTCGGTTCTTGCCAAGAGTTGGACGAGTTGGTCCCATAACCCCTGTTTTTCCCTCGCATGAAAAAAAGAAAAGAAACATTTTAGCTGTAGTTTTGGACTTTTTTTGATCAATTATTGGTCCTTTCATCTATAACATCATTCCAATCACTCTTTTGAGCATTAATCCATCAATTTCAGGGTGGAACAAGATTAGGTAGAAAATATTCTGATTTCGGTTAGGTTTTATCATCCAAATTGCGTTTTTTTGTGCGTTAAAACCCAAATCTTCCATTCTTACCAGTTCTCCCTCAAATTTGAACCAAACAATTGGAAATTTGTTTAAAATTGTTTGTGTTTGAGCTCACTAATGAACCGTTAAACAAATTTTCTGGATGGATGACAAACTTACAAGAGATCTATTGTCAAAGTTGTCAGGTTTTACTGGATAACAGTTCATTTGAAAAAGAGGCTAGGATTTTCTAGAAAAGTATGAAATTTGGAATTTTTAAGCATCAATTTGTGTGGAATTTTTATCTAGAAGACGGTAAGATTGATTAAACAAGGTATTTTATTTTTGCAATTAAGACTTGTATTTCTTTTGATCTTTTTTGTTTTCTTTCTTTATTTTCCTGAAAATGGGTCTTGGATTTTTTAATAAAATCTGAAAATTTTGCAGATTTTATTGGGTTTTTTATTTTATTTTATTTTATTTTAAATTTTTTTTTTATGTGCTTTAGGATGTGTTAGGAAGGTTTAATTTATGTTGATCTTTTCCCTCCTTTCGAATGAAAATCATTTTTTTTGGTTGGTTCTCTATTTTTCCAAAAATGGTTCTATCATTTAAGAAAAACATAAATCTTTGAAAGTATTATGTGTAATTTTTTAGGGGCTTTTGTTCTAGATTGTGTTAAGAAAGGTTTAAATATTTTTTTGTTGATTTTTTTCTTTGATTTATGATGAAATTTATTTTTTTTGCTATGTTTTATATGTTTTTGAAAAAGTGCCACGAAGTTTTGAATAATTTTAATGTAAATAACTAAATGTTAACATCATTTTTCTTATTTTTATTTCTGTGCTAGATTGTGTTAGGATTGCTTTAGATAAAATTTTTATTGTGTCTCTCCCTAATTTCTAGTGAAACCTTTTTATGTTTGCTCAATTCTCTATTTTCATGAAAATATGCTTGGATCTTTGAAGAATTTTTTTTGAATATTATGTTTATGTTTTTTTTTTTCAATGATTAAGTTTGATTTCTGTTTGCATGGTTCAGTATATTTTTGATGGAAAAAATCTCTATTTTTCTGAAAATTTATTTAATACAATTTATCTTTAATTTTCATGTGTGCTTTTTGGGTGATTCAGCAATTAATATTTGTTCATGTGGAAATTCGGTTATATTGTGAATTTTGTATTGCTTTTTAATCATAACTAAGGTGCATTTCTCAAAGATATATAATTTTTAGATTGTATGTTTTAACTTGTTTGTATATGATACTGATATTCTATCAACAATATGGCTCTCGCTATTGAATTTTTTTGCAGTTTTTACTATGAAATGATTGCATGGCACTCAGGCAGCAACTAGAATCTAGTTATTCACATGTATTTCACAATCCCCTTTAAATATACCACTTATTTATTAAATTTTTTCAACTGACCAACTAAATTTTATTTTTGATAACTTTTGAATATTTTTTTTGGAAATTTTTATAATCTTAGGATGGTCGATGAATTGGTCCATGTTGGCTGGCTCACCAAATCGAATTGGATCCAGCTGGTGGATGGTTCGGCGACCCACTCTGATTTTTTGAACATTGGTAGAGAGGAAACTTTTAGCCCTTTGCATGTATTGAATATCATAACATCCTAAAAGTATTATGAATAAGATTTTACTAAAGAATGTACATAAAATGGTTGTAGTTTGAGACGGTTGCCTATAAAAAAATGTTTACTAAAAAAGCATTAAACTCTAGTCTCTTTCTCTCTGTCTTGTCTTTGTTATCCCATGCATCTCGGAGGTTTAGTACTTGTGAGGTTTTCAAACTGGGCTCAGTTGAGGAACTCGCCACATGTTGAGTTACTTGGGCATCTTCAAGTGAGGTTG